GAAATCATCTAACTTGATTTGTTTGCTTTGATTTCACTTTCACCAAATAACCTTCTTATAATTTGGCTTCCCATGTAGATTTTCCTATAGACACCTCTCTGTATGAGGAATATAACCACAGCGCACCAATTCCAGTTTGCTAGATAATCATAACCTCCACGCTCCTTTGAGCTTTCATTCTCCTTCAAAATTCGAGGAAATAGACATTTTCCCCAAAGACATTGAATGTTCGCTATTAAGGGGCAGAACCGTGATTCAGCCCCAGATATAGCTGACTTTGTAATCACTCCATCACAATCAGGAGAGCCTAAAGTCACAGAAAACACAGACATACAAGAAAATGGCAATAGTGTAGCAGTGAATGCTGCAAAGAAGTCAATAAGGATGAGGAATGAGAAAAATGTCCTCATATTTAGTTGTCTGGGAGACTTTTCAATAAAACAGTGAAGCCAGACTACACTCGATTAATAAGTAAGAAAGTAATAAACAGAGGCATCAAGCATAGGATACTCTTTCAAGAAATATGGCTGCAAATGAAAAGACAGTATCATCAAGAGATCTGTTTCATTTCAGCTCTAATAGGATATTTCTGCCACCCATTATACACTGGGGAACAGATCCATTTTGCAGAGAGCTATAGGACAAACTGGTGAAGAAGATCTCCCAACCACAATGATATTCCAGAGAAAGACTCTATGTAAAATGTACCCGAGATTGAGATGGGCATTTCTATTCATTTCTTCTGTGAGCAGCCTTTTTGGATTCAAACAAATGGATTTCTTATGGTCTACTTGTTCTGTTAATTTCAAAATAAATTTTTCACTATGAAAGCCAGTGGGAAAAGGACGATTCAGTTTCAATGTTTTAAAAGTCACTTTTCTGGAACATATCTATCTAGTTAACTGACAATTTAATAACAAGCTCTCAGAAAGATGGCATGTGTTTATATGTGCAATGATAAAATGGATTTTTTGTGTTTTAGCAATTAAACTTTTTTTCTTAAAGAGACTGATGTTTATTTCTCTTGGTGCTCATAATGTTTCAATATGAACTTGCCATGTACTGAGAAATTGTTTTTTTTTTTTTTGAGACAGAGTCTCGCTGTGTTGCCCAGGCTAGAGTGAGTGCCATGGCATCAGCCTAGCTCACAGCAACCTCACACTCCTGGGCTCAAGCGATCCTCCTGCCTCAGCCTCCCGAGTAGCTGGGACTACAGGCATGTGCCACCATGCCCGGCTAATTTTTTCTACATATATATTAGTTGGCCAATTAATTTCTTTCTATTTGTAGTAGAGACGAGGTCTCGCTCTTGCTCAGGCTGGTTTCGAACTCCTGACCTTAAGCAATCTGCGTGCCTCAGCCTTCCAGAGTGCTAGGATTATAGGCGTGAGCCACCACGCCCGGCCTGAGAAATTTTATATTTAAGATCTGAGGTTTTGATCATGGAATCCCACTCAATAAGTTTAAACACAAAAGAATCCTCAGTCCAAAATTAAAATCTATTTAATATCTACCAGGCATAGTGGCTTGCACCTGTGATCCCAGCTACTCTCAGAGCTGAGGCAGGAGGATCACTTGAGGCCAGGAGTTTAAGAACAGCCTGGGAAACACAGCAAAATCCCATTTCTAAGAAAATTTTAAAAATTAGCCACGCATGGTAGTGCTCACCTCTAGTCCCAAGCTACTCAGGAAGCAGAGGTGAGAGGATAGCTTGAGCCCAGGAGCGAGACCCTCATCTCTAAAACAAAAAAACCCAAAATTTGTTTAATATCTTAAAAATACTAGTAGCCTCTACCACAGTCAGAAAAATTTATACTTCAGTAGAATTTACAGAAAGGATGGGAAAACAGTGCATAGTTTAAAGTATACTTCATAGTTTTAAAAGCTATTTGATAGGCAGTTTTTAAATATCAATGTTTTATTTTGTTTAAAAGTTCCAGCTCTTCTCCTTAGTGTTTATAGTTATGTATCTGTTTGTATATCAAATGGAACACAAAAGAAATTCTGGCTAGTGATATGAAGCAAAAATGGGTAGCCGCTCTGTGTTATCTTTTACTAAATTGTAGCTGGCACATGGATAGAGTGTGCTCTGAGCCAATCTTTTTGATCCTTTTTACAAAAGAAGTTTGCTAACAATCATTTACTTCTTTCCTTCTTTCTTTTTTCTCTCCCACTCCACCCCTAAGTGTGGGGTTTTGGGACAAAGCAAATCATTTCTTTGTGGCCAGGGTGACAGGAAACTCAAACATTTAAACTTAAATTCCTGGCCAGGTGCGGTGGCTCACGCCTGTAATCCTAGCACTCTGGGAGGCCGAGGCAGGAGGACTGCTTGAGCTAAGGAGTTTGAAACCAGCCTAAGCAAGAGTGAGACCCTGTCTCTACTATAAATAGAAAGAAATTAATTGGCCAACTAATATATATAGAAAAAATTAGCCGGGCATGGTGGCGCATGCCTGTAATCCCAGCTACTCGGGAGGCTGAGGCAGGAGGATGGCTTGAGCCCAGGAGTTGGAGGTTGCTGTGAGCTAGGCTGACGCCACAGCACTCACTCTAGCCTGGGCAACAAAGCGAGACTCTGTCTCAGAAAATAAATAAATAAATAAACAAACAAACAAACTTGAATTCCTTATGAGGTTACCAGTCTCTTTTTAAAATTTCTGGCTCTGATTATTTTTACAAGATACAGCCCTTTAGAGAAGTTAAGTTTGTTGATCTTCAAGGAGTCCTGCATTGAACAATAAAAATTGATGTATGCTCTGTGATAGCATCATAAGGTTATATCAGTGAAACACAATATAAATAACCTTATCATCAAAACTCTTTGTGCATTCCTATTTTTCTTGATTCACAATATGAATTAATTTTTATTTCAACATACTTATGAATAAGGAATTCTGTTAAGTAAACACACTTGTTAGTAATGTGTCTCAGGAATGTGGAAAGAAAAGGAAGGAAGAGCTGGGTCAGTGGGTCATATCTATAATCTCAGCTACTCGGGAGGCAGAGACAGAAGTATCGCTTGAGCCCAGGAGTTGGAGGTTGCAGTGAGCTATGATTGTGCCACTGCACTTCAGCTTGGGCAATAGCCTGGCCTTCTTAACTCAGAAAAGAAGAAAAGGAGAGAAAGAAAGAGAGAGAAAGAGAGAGAAAGAGAGGAAGGAAGGAAGGAAGGAAGGGAGGGAGGCGAGGAACCCCGAGAACAGCCAGGAAGACGCGAGGGGAGGGGCCGGGACGGGGAGGCGGGAGGGAGGGCGACCAGGGAGGGGACCACCACGGAGGAGGCACCGAGCGATGAGGCCCGGAGGAAGGGAGGGGAGGGGAGGGGAGGGGGAGGAGGACGGGCGCCCACAGCGTGGGAGGGGACGGGCAAGAAAGAAAGCAAAAAGGTGGCAGAGGGAGGGAAGGAGGGAGGGAGGGAAGGAATAAGAAAGAAAGGAAGGAGAATTAACTAAATGCCAGGATGGTATCAAAGCAGCAACTTTGATTCCACTCTAAGGCTGAGGGGCCAGGCCAGAGCATGTCTGTCTGCTCAATTGTTTTTTCAGTACAATAGTTCATTCATTAATTCAAGACTAAGAAAAGAGTTTTCACCTTCCAAAACCACATGTAGGACTTCTGGCATTGGTTATATGGAATTAGGATGATTTAATAAATAAAGTGCATACACTGTAGCATCAGAGTGCTTGGATTTCAATTCCAGTCCTACCACCTATCATATACATGGCCTTGGGCAACGTAGTTAATTTGTCTCTGCTTCAATTTCCTTATCTGAAAAATGTGATACTATCTCATTACTGTAAGAATGAAATAAGATAACACATGTAGATAAGAAGATCTAGCACCTTATAAGTACTCAATAAATGTTAATTATTTTCACATTTCTTTTCCTTATGTTCCTCAAAACCCTCATATATAGTCACCTAATACACTAAAAACTCATGGTGTTTTTTCTCATGTTATGACCCTATAACTTTTCTCCACCTGGGTTCATCCATATTCTTCTACTTCCATAATTTTGCTCTATTTCAACGTAATAGTTTGGTTTTTGCCCCCATAAGCAGTGAAGAATTTAGGCTAAGAATCTCAGCACAGAAAAAATTTCCCATTCAGCAAAATGTACTAATATTTACTAGACACTAAGAGCAAATTATAAGAGAGAAGCCTTATTTTTAAAATAGAGATGTAAATTTTTGAAAGTTTCCAGAAATAAATTCTATTAACCAGATTCAATACCCATATTTAAATATTTCTATATTAATAAAATGAGTTAATAGTTTTTAAAAAAAACAAAGTAAAAAGCTAATTTCCTTTTCTATAGAAATCGAAACATTAGTTCTGTTGTTCTCTGACTTTTTTATTAAAAGAAAAAAAGCCACCTAAAATTTAAATTCTATTGTGACTATATTCTTCTAATTCTACTAAAGACAAAGTTGGATGTGGAAAAAAATGAGAAATAGAAAAATTAGGTATATAGTCCCCTGACAAAGAAGAATTAACACTTACAGGACTAGACAATTAGCAGACCACTCTAAGGGTGAGGCCAGGCTGGAGCATGTCTGGCTGCTCAAAGGTTTTTCAGTAAAACAGCTTATTCATTAATTAAAAACTAATAAAAGAGCTTTCATCTACCATAAGTAGAAGAAGGGGAGAGCAAGGGGAAAAAAGGAGAGTAGGTGTCGAACAGAATTAAGGGGAGGTGGTCCAAACCAATACTGATAGTTCTAGATCAACTGAAAAAAATGAAAGAATTATTTTTTGTAAGCAAGAACTCTCTCCTGGAGCTCCCAAGGTTGAGTCTGATAAGAGAGTGGTAACTGCTGAGCAATTGGGCAGTGTGTACATTTTCCTTCCCTATTTCTTCAACAGTGGACAAATGTCTTCACTGCTTTTACTTCGATTCCATGTGGGCGAGGTTGGGCCACAGTTCAGTGCAGGCTTAAATAAACTTCCTGGGAGCCTGGGCCCCCGTCTGTCCTCAGCACAGCGACAGGCTGACTTACCCATGCTCATCTTGATTGGCAGCTGCTCTCTGCTCGCTGTCTCCACTAGATGTCTCCGGACTTCCATCACTGCCTCCTTGTGCTTGCTGTTCAGTAAGGCTTCCCACAGGGTTTTGGCTGAGGGGTCGCTGCAATAAAACCACAAAAAGAGCTTCAGAATAAATTTCTTCCGGAATATCGAAAGGGTCGAAAGCAAAATAATTTCTTCAATAACTTTTCTTGAGCACCAGTGTAGTCTTTCCTACAGGCAGACTCAAAGTGTTAGAGTTAAAGCAAGAATGTGTTGACATAAAACATGGAGAAATTAAGGCGACAACAAAATCAAGCCAAAAAAAAACAAAAACAAAAGGGAAGAAAAGGACCATGAAAAGTATGGGAAAACTGTATGATAAATTGTGGGGTTTTTTTACGATTGTATACTTAAAAGCATTTCAGAATGCAATTCAACAGTGCTGGAATAACATAAATGTTATGTAAATCAAAATCGAATGTATGTGTCAAAATGATTTATTTATCAGTGATTATAAGCAGTATACCAATTTGAGATAATATACTTGTCTGGGAAATACATAGCAATCAGCAATGAGAATTCCTGTTCAAAAATTACTCAATAGACTTCCTAATTAATAGGCTTCCTACTGAATGGAAATCAGGAATTATGCTAAGTAACTATGGTCTGAAGTAGCCTACTTTGGGCTTTAGGTTGGGAGGATGGTACTTAATCCCGCCTTTACAATTAACCGTTGATAAGAGCACCAAGCACTGCATTATGCAGAATCTCATCTGGGCTCACTTCTCCAATAGCCCTCTGTCTCACCCAACATGCCATGTCTGAATTATAAATGAGTACAGTGTTCTTTCCGGAAGATCTCTGCCATGTAGCCAAGTATACACATTTGTAGTAATGTTTAAAAACTGAATCTAAAGAAACAAGGATGACTTCTGTCCCTTTTTAAGGACTTTTTCCTCCACTCAAAGCCCTACGAACTCTCTTAATATCCAGTCAGTAATAGTTTGAAAATGAATGCGTTTTTTTTAAATTGAGTTGTGAAACTTCTATTAAGATATTAATTTAATTTTAGTATTATACCTAATAAGATATATCTTTCAAGTTTGAATTTGATCTGGAATAAAGGCATGATGTCTTTTAGCACTGAGTTTAATGTCTGGCACATAATAATGTTTCATTAAATAGTGGATGTTTTTAATTATCTTCTATTTTTTCATAGTAAACTAACGTCACTGCTCAACATACTCCACTTGTTTTAATCTGATCAAAACTGTCATCATTATAACTCTGCATCTAACATTTTTTTTTTTTTTTTTGAGACAGAGTCTCTCTTTGTTGCTCAGGCTAGAGTGAGTGCCATGGCGTCAGCCTAGCTCACAGCAACCTCAATCTCCTGGGCTCAAGCAATCCTCCTGCCTCAGCCTCCCAAGTGGCTAGGACTACAGGCATGTGCCACCATGCCCAGCTGATTTTTTCTATATATATATATTATTTGGCCAATTAATTTCTTTCTATTTATAGTAGAGATGGGGTCTCGCTCTTGCTTAGGCTGGTTTCAAACTCCTGACCTTGAGCGATCCGCCTGCCTCGGCCTCCCAGAGTGCTAGGATTACAGGCGTGAGCCACCGCGCCCGGCCTGCATCTAACATTCTTAAGTTTAATGTATGTGAGCAGGTAAACTACATGCCAAGCCCTATATTTGGTTGAGATTGGAGTTAAAAACAAGCATCCATTGACTTATAGCCTGGAAGAAGAGGCAAACATGAAAGCAAAGAAATTACCAAAACAAGTGGATTAGAGCCATGATCAATGCTTGTGTAGATTTCTATGCAAATCTCATCCTGCCTGGAAGGAGAAGGACTGAGCGAATGATTTCTACTAGAAATGATGAGCACGTTCAAAGATACATAAGCCCCAGAAGCAGCCAAGGGAAGAAGTTAGAACTCAATCTGGGAAGGAGAGTAGTAAAGAAAGACTTCAAGGAAAATATAAACTCTTAGTTGCCAGACAAGAGAAAGAAGGACATTTCAGAATGTGCAAAGTCCTGGGAACATGACACTAAGGACAATATTTGCTACATGCTAAGGTGGACAGGAGGGCTATTACAACAGTGCCGGTATGGTAGACCAGAAGGAAGAACCGCAGAGTGGCAGGAGTATGAGTGTTGAACCAAACAACACAGGGTGCTGTTTTTGCCTCTTGCTAGCTCTCTGTCCCTGGGAGAGTTACTTGCCCTCTCTACACACGTTTTCTCCTCTGTTCAATGGGGATGGTAATAGTACATATTTAATGGGTTTTTTTTTTTTTTTTTGAGACAGAGTCTCACTTTGTTGCCCAGGCTAGAGTGAGTGCCGTGGCATTAGCCTGGCTCACAGCAACCTCAATCTCCGGGGCTCAGCGATCCTCCTGCCTCAGCCTCCCGAGTAGCTGGGACTACAGGCATGCGCCACCATGCCCGGCTAATTTTTTGTATATATATTTTTAGTTGGTCAATTAATTTATTTCTATTTTTGGTAGAGATGGGGTCTCGCTCAGGCTGGTTTCGAACTCCTGACCTTCAGCAATCCGCCCGCCTCGGCCTCCCAAAGTGCTACGATTACAGGCGTGAGCCACCACGCCTGGCCGTGGGTTTTTATGAAACTTGAATGAACTAATACATCTAAAGCACTTAGAAGAATGCCTAGTATACAAGTGCTCAACAAGCATAACAGTAGTGACAGCAGCAGCAGTAATACTAATAAAAAAAAAAATCAAAGGTCAGGAGGTCAGGATTTTCTCATAAGATATAGAAGCAAGCCTATTTTAGAACCACAGTGGTCCTTCCCACCTACTTGCAAACACTTATGTATAACCACTGTCAGCAGCTTCATTTTCTAATATGAAAAGATCATGTAGAATTCATACACCCTATGATACACACTGAAACACATTGAAAAAACTCCAACTCAAGCAATCTCTCTATACACAATAAGTTGATGTAAAGAATTTTTATTTGTAAGGAATAAAATAAGGAACTTCACTATCGATTACTTAGAAACTAACAGCTATAGGGAGTTAAAGGTTTTCTTACAAAGGTTTTAAAGCAATGGCTTCTATGTCAGCTTCTTGACTCTTCAATTTAATTATAGTGAAATTCTGCAGGACACTTCAAGACTACAATTGTTACTTTTCCAAGGAGTTCATATTCTATAAATATTTCCAGACTGACTTATCAAATAGTTGTGCAACTCTTGGGTCAGCAGTGAACATTAGAAGTAATATTAAATTAATCATCTTTATATCTTCAGCAGGACCATACCCAACCCAACACAGACAAATGAAAATCCATTTTTAGTTTTTGAAAGCACCCAAAGAAACTTTTATAATATGCCTGAGAAAAACACTACAGCTTCAAACAAACCAAATTGCTATTGGACTCTATTTATACCTAATCTAAACCCTTTGTGTCATACTGTGAACCTACTTCCTTTTTGCTTAGTCTTCTCCCTTAAGTTCAGGAACAGCTGCTCAACATCTTTTTAATAATCAGGCCCACCCAAAAACAGTTTTTATCGTTCATGGCTAAATTAAGGAAGATTTTTTTAAAGGGAAATAAAATGTTAAAATATAGTTTCAATTACCACCACCGCTACATTCTATTTAAAAAGTATTTCAGAATTTATAAAACTTTTGATATCACATTTGATTCTCACCTCCTGAGCTAAGCCATTGTCACTGACACAATTTAAGGAGCCTCAGAAAAGCCCAGGGACTTACTTAAATACCCTCATTCTGATAAATGGCAAAACCAGGACTCATACTAAGGTACCTGGCTTCTAAGCCCAGTAATCTTTCTTTCTACTATACCATGCTAAGGTGGTAGTGGGCAAATCATCAAAGAGAATCAATTATGTAGGACGTCAACCATTTTCAACTTTTCATGTTGGCTTTCTTTTCTAATCCTTAACACCTTTTATTCTCCCTGTAAGTTCACACGTGGGCCTCACATAGGATAGAATGGAATAAAGAGAGTAAAGTGGATCCACATTAACTCATGAAGTAGGTAAAGCACTCTCTCAGAATTTTACACACTTTCTGTTTTAAACAACATCATACTATTCCCCTGGTAGGTCAACATTAGCCATTGATAGTCATTTTGCTACACAAGGCTAACTTTACACTTTTATTCAACTTTCTTCTTGAAATGTTTCCCTCTAAGAAGACTTTTGCATAATTTTTAATCATTATAGATATAGATACATCATTCCTATAATTTAAAATGCAAAAAACTACAGTCTAAATTGTTTAGAAGTGTTCTTTCCAATCTAGTTATTATTTTATGTTGATGATGTCCTTGGGAAAGAGAGAAGGGGAAATAGCCCCTAGTTATTTTACCACTGATAAAAGTGAGACAAAATGAAACCACTTGCTTGACATCTCATTATTAATTAAAAAAAAAAAGAGAGAGAGAGTTAGAGCTCCACCGCTAGAGGTGCCAATGGACAGCTTCTGTGATTTGGGGTAATTCAGTTAACCTTTCTGGTGCTTTATATCCCTTATAGGTATTACTGATGTCATTATATTCATTTATTGAGAACTCAGTATGTCACAGGCAACACGACTATTATCTCATTGAATAATAACCCTCCAGGATAAGTATCATTGACTACACTCAGTGAAAAAGCTCATTCTTAAAGAAATGAAATAATTTGCCCAAATTATATAGCCAATAAATTAGAATTTGAGCCCAGGTCACTGTGAACTCCAAAATCCATCTATTAACCACAATTCTATGCTATTTCGTAAAATAAAAGGCTTAAACTATAATTCAATTTCCGAGATTCCTTGAATCTCTAACAAGCTGTATTTATAAGATTTCCATTACACCCTGGTGTTCCAAATTCACATGTACAAATTTGATTAACTTTCCAAAGATCAGCAGAAGTTGGGAGAATATCCCATGCTATTGTTTCTTTTATTAATAGAAGTCCAGGGATAATAATAAAAGAATTAACAGAAAAAATTCTCAATAGCATGTAGATATAAATTATACTATTATCTACCTTTTACTCAGTCTTTAAAGCCATATTTTCCAAAGAGATAAACTTTAATTCATTGTAGTTACTGGCACACAATTTT